TACCACTGCAAAGAGTTGTTCCACAGCTGTTACAATACTTGCGGGAGTCGCCGCTGCTGCTGTTGTAATGCTGTGAACAACAAGTGCGGGGATGATTGCTGGTAGGTTAACTTTTTTTTTTCCATTTATTCAACAGCCGTGTCTCTGGGCTGGAACATACCCACACCCACCTTGGTTGTACGAATCAGTTTTGGATAAAGCGCGATATGCTATTTTTATCGTTCAGTGCCGAAGCGAAGTTTCGTCTCGTTCAATCACATCTTCTATATTCTGCTCCATTGTTCTTGTGTGGGGAAGTGATTGTAGAATTCCGAGTGTGTGCAGGACCTTCGTAAGCTGACCCTCCACAAGCATACGTATGTATTACGACTACCGCCTCTTCATCCACTGGAGGGTGCCAAGTGTTCAATCGGCAGTAACCCTTCGATGTGCGGCCGCGGTTGCCCCTTATGATTGTCCAACGGCACAACAGTGAGACGACGCGAATGATAGGGGGCAATACTTGTCACCACATCACTCATTGCTCCTAACAAGCGCGCATATTAACCTTTGGGGGACGTGTGCGACTACCATTAAATGGTCACGGCGTGCCATGGAGTCTTGGAAATGTTACTTTTGGATGCTGCAGGACTGGCGACTGGGAAATTGGTGGTTTGGTGTTTGAGTAAGCAATACACGGAACCAGTACCATAAGGTTTGAAGCTTCATCCCATACCAGTTAGAACCAAAATCCCCGTGGGGTGTAAAAGTGATGAAAGTGGCCTGCGGCCACGGTGATGCGTCGTGGAGGCTCTGTGATCCGACGCGGGATGGCGCACCGTCTAACCTCTCGTGCACCAGCCTCCGCAGATCTCCTCTCCACACGCAAGCTACAAGTCTCGATTTGGCTCTCGTTACACGCATCCTCACCTGCCGATCACAGCCAAGTGTCTTGGATATGAAGATCCTCAGATTGCGCCTCACATTCAGTGCGTGGTCTTCTATATAATTATGGCCGTCCGCGTCTTTTTCGCGACAAGCCTCCGCGTTTCTCGGCGCCGCGCAAGGACGTTGCGTATTTCGATGCGCCAAGGCATGCGCAATATCGTGATGCAATGTTTGGACGGTGGTTGTGCAATTTGTACTCTGATCTGCAGCTTTGTGGTTGGGTTAAGTCAAAGTGTTGGAGATGCGTTTTGGACTGGCTGCTCTGGGCATGGGGCTTGGAACCATCCCACTGTCCGCGTATCGCGGTTGGCGCAATTACCCTGTAGTGACCCCGTGGGTGTCCCATGATGCCCCAGCTTACCTGTTTCCATTCCACCACTAGTCAGTTTGTCAGATATAATGCACATAGTCCCCCTCTACGTGTGTTGGCTGCAGTTCGTGGTCCACGGCCTTGAACAACGCCGGTACCGCTCACCGATTTGCGCGATTAAAATCACCGCTTTTTTCTTCAACAAACGAAGCGAACTACGGTTCGCGCTCCAGACACTGTGCAGCACAGCTCTAGCCGCATAAGACAACTTACTCATCTTTCTCTCTTTCATGACTTTGTAACCTCACACCTTCTTATATCGCAACTGCAACAACGATCCCAAGCTCGTCCGGTAACGTACACACAAAGCCGTCCGCGGCGAGCGTTCTGGCCACCACATCCGAGACCTACACCAAAGACACAAGGACTCAAAGCCACCACACACTTCACCATGTTGTCCGTTCGCTCCAGTGTCGACAGCATCTACAGCCGACTCAGCGGCGAGAAACCTCTTCCAAAGCCGGCCTACCACTGCAACATGAACCCACAAGAGCAATCGCTTTGGGCCATCATCGTGAGTACCCTTCTACCATCTGCCTTGTGTTTAAAAGAACTTGTACTAATAATTTTTACGTAGGGTGAAGAGAAGTATGAATATACTCGTGACAAGAAAGGCAGAGTACACAAGCGCCGCCTCAACTACGTTCAACGCGCCCAGAAGCAGCGTCAGTTCTTCGAGTCTCGCGTCGGCCATGCCATCGTCGGCGACGAGTGGATGAGGATGAAGCTTCCCTCCCGAAAGTGCTAGTATATCGCTATGCACACGTGGCTGGTCACTGCCAGCATTATGACCGACACGTTTTGGTCTATTGTGTCGCGGAGTTAGTCGGATGGTTTTTGTTACTGGGTTTCGGTGTGGCTCAGGCGTGCTCCCGTCTGAAGTGAAGATCATAAACTTCTTTAAGCTACTATCTCTTTTGTACTGAGTTTGGGGGCGTCGGATTTGTGGCCTTTCGCATAGGATATACCCGGCATATGCATTCAGCGTGGAGTTTTTTTACGCTACTGAGATCAATACATTTTCTGATCACAATCTAGTTTTATGCCTTGACGACATTGAGAAGGTGAAATTAACTGCTAATGGAATGTTGGGAGTGGTACCTACGCAACTATAAGTCATGTTGGAGAACATGATAGTAGTGCAAGTAACATGCGGAAATCTTATACAGAGCCCTCAGAGTACTTGTCCATAATGAATGAATGATAGATGTCTTGCCTGGCATATGAGGTGGTGTAGAGCTGGAGGACGCCTAGCTGTCGGCCCAACGCCACTGGCCGTAGCTCGCTTCTGCCCATTGGCTGGTTCAGCCCTGGCGGCCGCTCAGCCTTCGCCGCGGGCTGTGACCTCACTCTCCCCAATTTCTTACCCAACACACCGAAAGCGAATCGCCATCTAATCGAGTCATAATGTTCTGGCCCTACCCATGAGGAAATACGCCTTGGAGAGTTACAACATCAACCCCACACTATGTCGGACGAGGAGGGTCTGTTAGTCATCGCCGCGAATGGCGACCTTGTCCTTGATGTCGCTCAGGAAGAGGGCAGGCAGCAATTCTCGTATCGCGTAGACTCCAAAACACTGCAGCAAAACTCGCGATATTTTGAGAACCTGCTGAGTGATCGCTTTCATGAAGGGCAGCAGTTGGCGAAAGCTTTAGAAGCACTCCAGTTGAACCAGAGTGCCCAAATCGCAGATGCTCCTGTCGATGTGCTTCCTCACATATCCATCGTTAATGTCGGTCGTGTAGCCGTCGCCAAAGCCTCTTCCATTCGAAACCTCATCGCAGACTTTCTCCGCGCAGTCCACGGTCTCGACCTTGCCGTAGCCAATCCTCCCGTGGCCAATCTCGCCAATCTCGCTGTCGTTGCCGACCGATTCGATGCTGTCGCGTGCCTGTCAAAGCATATACAGAGGAAGAAATACCTACAGTTGATCGATGCAAAATCGAGAGGCAAGCCGGTTCCAACGCAGACGGAAGAAAGAATACGGCAAAAGCTCTTTGTCGGTCTTCTCTTCGATCATCCGTCGTGGGTGACGCGATATTCAAAGCATCTGATCATGCGGGACTCAGTCCAGTGGCGGCCGGGAATAGAGGAGGACCATACAAAAGCGTTGTGGTGGGACATACCAGACGTCGAGGACGAGTTGATACAGCGACGAGAGTACATACTGGAGACTATCAACTCTCTACAGGCTCATTTTCTTAAGCTATACACGTCGGGAGAACGTCAATGCAAGCTCTGGTATGATACGTCGCTACAATGCGACTCTTTTCAACTAGGAGAGATGGTGCGCTTCTTTTCCAAAATCGACACTATACGGTTGCAAGGCAAAATCTACGACAATACAGAGCCGACGTACTATCTTGGGGACATTGATCGACTTCTATCATCACTTCGCCAGTGCTCCAACTACCAGGTCGACAGCAACCATGGACACTGCGGGCTGCGGTCACGAATACTCCCGCTCCTTGACCTCATACAAAACCAGCTCAGTCTCGATACAGGTATCTTGGATATCGGCATTTGCGCGGAATGCTGGTCCAACCATCGCAAGGAGTATGCCTGGCAACTAGCCAAGCGACCGGTGATGTGGGCACACCCAAAGTCTTTAACGGGTAATCGGACGCTTACCAACGCAGTCGTGCGTAAAAGTCACCAAAGGACGCCAAGTAGCTGCCTCAGTAGACATGTGGCGGTCAGGGACCTTTTCATGGCTGTGGAGCGCGACTGGACTGCGAGGGACGTTTATTGAGGAGACAATACACCATCAAGGCCGCTTTTGAGTCCTTTCAAGCCTCATAAAGACCTGAGCTCAAAATGCCCCCGTCAGTTATTGGTACGCTAGAGCAGATTACTAGGGCAGTTTCCGCCTTGCTACAACCGGTCGAAGTACCGCTTGATCTATTAGATGTCGTCGGCATCACATGGAAACAGTTCCCAGCTATTGAGGATAGTGGAGATATATTGCAAAGCTAGAGGACCGCGAGGTAGTGTCCGCCTTAGTAACACCAAGGAGTCAGAGAGGGAATGTTGATGTATTGAAGGTACTGCAACGAGAGGAAGACCAATCCACTTCTTCAACTCAGTGCCTATTGACCTCGCGAAAGATGTTCTTCGAGTGGAGTGGAGTGGTTCATGCATGTTTTAGTCTCTTGAGCGCATTACGCGTGATTCGTTCAAAGAACAATCGATGGTTGTGAGCCATGCCTGTGAGTGGATCTGCTTGTGGTGGCTGAGCAATCAGCAATTAACGCTACCTGCAACAGCTCGGCTGTGCATGCTTGCTTCTGCGTAGCACATGGCGTTTTTCGAATGCAGTTTACCCGAGGCACACCGACTAGCAGTAGACACACGTTTCAATCGCCTCTAATACCTTAATTCTCAAGGCCTCTGCTGAGGCGCACACGAGGCAGATTCAACGCTACTAAACGGTCTCCATACTGTAACGTTGCGATTGTTGTGAATAGTATATAGATTCATGAACCATGGGACAACTTTCCTCTTACACTAAGACAAGGGCATTGTGCTTGAACAAGCTTTCACCTGTCGTTACAGTTTACTCTCGAACTCTTTGACGTTTGCCCTTGCTCGAATGTCTGTCTCACTTTCCGCTGTTCAGTATTTTGACAACACCCAGTCTCTGAACTACACTACCTCGCCATACACCCAACACCGTACACTGTCCAGAAAGCCTGAAAATATGTATCAAAAGTTGAAGAAGACCTTTTCGACCCGCAAAGCTTCAAAGTCGAGCAACGACTATACCACACGGGATGCAGAAAATGCTGGACAGATGCTGGATAATACGCTTACAGCTACACCAGTCAGCAAGAGAAGTTCTGGATCCCGCAACAGTGGTCTTACACCACCCTCACGCACTAACCCGCTTGCCTCGGCGTCGCCTGCTACACGGAGGCCTAGTAAGTACTACAAATCCCACATCAGACGGACTTCACGAGTGTTTCCTTCAGACACTGACTTCATGCCAGACAGTTCAAGTATAAATCCCTTCAGTTCTAATCGTGAAGCCCCGCCGGCTTATACGCCAGGCCCAGCCCAGAACGTTCATGCAGCAAATTCAGCTCCAGCTATCGATCCCACGGACGATGATCCTTATGACTTCCTCCGAACCTTCGATACAGTCTTTCTAATTGACGACTCAGGGTCCATGGCTGGTCGTTCTTGGAAGGAGACTGGCAAGGCTCTTGAAATGATTGCACCGATTTGTACTCAGCGCGATGCTGATGGAATCGACATCTACTTCCTCAACCACCCAGACTCTAGTCTTTACAAGAACGTCACATCAGCGAGTACCATCATTGAGATCTTCCAGACTGTGCGTCCCAGCGGTGGTACACCAACCGGTCAGCGCTTGAATAAGATCTTGAAGTCATATATTCGGCGATTTGAAAAAGACCAGAGTATCAAGCCCATGAATGTTATTGTCATCACCGATGGTGTGCCATCTGATGACGTCGAATCCGTTATCGTCTCAGCCGCCTTGAAGCTCAATGCGACACCCGCAGAATTGTGGCAAGTGGGTATTCAGTTCTTCCAGGTTGGGAAGGAACCCGGTGCGCGAGATCATCTCAAGCAGCTTGATGATGACCTACCTGAACTGGTGCGCGAAGCGGGCGATGGGACTCGTAGAGATATGGTGGATACGGTGCCTTTCACTGGTGAAGGGGATACTGAGCTTACTGGCGCCGGAATACTGAAAGCAGTGTTAGTAATGCGCCTGCACAAACTGCATATGAAACATATACTGACTTTGTACACTCACATCTAGGCTCGGAGCCGTCAACAGGCGCTGGGATCGTAATTCCAAGGACTTACATCGTGCCTAGCCATGCATGGTTTGCTTCTACAAGTATTCATGGTGTGCCTTGCTGGTGGGCCATTCGGAGGGGTTGTCCAGATTAATCAATCTAATATGTCCAGAGATATAGGTTTTGACGTTGATTGGATGGTTTTATGCACCTGATGTAGGAGGTGGTGTTATCACGGGAGTTGGTGGTTCGATATCCTTTGCGGGTTGTTTCTGCATACGCATGATGATACCCCCTAGCCTGCATGATACGACGTTGCATGGAGCGGTTGGGCGGATATCTGCATTCGATTTTCCTGCTTTAGCCATAGGCGCTATATGGTCGTACCGGTGTTCTCGAGGGCTGGCTCTTATCTCTTCTCACACTACTCATACGTTCATCAATAGCCTCACTCTATAGATTCCAACCTCGTCCGCTGGACCAAAAGTCGTTATCTCGTGATGATCACAGGGTCCACCTACCAAAAAGCCTATACATGAACGATGTTCTCTGAGAACCGAGAGAGGGGTAGTCTCCATGCAGGTGTGCCTGGAGGCCTGAAGTCTGCCTGAGGATGCCTTACAAGGCAGACTCGCCTATATCTACCGGGACTGATCCTACGCTTCTGAAATCATACACGACGCCATAGGACACTAACGATGCCAAACCAGTGATACGGGTTGTCGTGGCTACCAATATATGTTATAGTATATGCTACTTGGTGCAGCTGGCTCCGTGGAAGGAGGGTGCAATATGCTTCTCCAGTGAAATCCATAACTAATGGAGTGCTTTCCCCTCTCTTGCTACAATTCAGTCAAATTTAAAATTGGATGCATATTCGGGATGTGTATGCAGCCCGCTTTATTAGTAACATGCATACACAGGATAGGCACCGAAACGCTACACTATTTACAACACGCCTCACGAACCGGCAAACGATTCTCAGCACTTTCGGTAAATCGATACAAAAGTAGACTCTAGCAATGCATAGCTCAAGTGGTACTGGGAAGTTGTGGATATACGAAGTCAAAGAAAAGATCTAGACAGTGGATTACAACATAATGGAAAACTGGTTGGCGAATAGCTGTTGCATTTAGGTCTACATCAAACTTAGCTTTACTCTAGGCATTGTATCTAGGTATCGTTAGTGAATTCGTACTCATGTCAGGAGTTCCGGTATTGCGACGGCCCCAGAGCTATTGAGCATCGTGCAGTGAAACATTGTTTGATTGGTCTCAGGACTTTCTGACTAAAAGAATGAACCATGTTCACGCTTGTCTACGTTAGAGGGCTACAGTATGCATGGAAGGTATTCTTAGTCGCTTGTTGCAGTGGGAATACAGGCTCTGTAGATGTTGATTGTGGAGATGTAGGTGATTAGAATGGCTAGACGAGTTGGTATCCTTCCAGTGCTTACACTAATTTATTAATCTTCCAAGCCGGATGTGGGTTGGCACCGAAGATCTTGTAGGATTTGAACATTTGAACATTTGAACCCCTCAGCCCGTGCCACCATCTTGCATGCCACGTCTCGTACCTAGGTAAAATTGATCAATTCTCCTCGAGTAGAACCCCATCCAAATCACTTTATAACTCCAGTTTTGCAGTTTCTTACCGCTATGAATGATTTCCACCACTTCCACTGGACGCCCCACTTGAGCATGCTGCCCATAGTAACGATGACAAGCGGCGGAGTCGAGTTACAAGGGGGCGAGATTGCCGAGCGTCAATACGACATAGCATGCGCATCATGTCGTTCGATCAAATTCATTGACCTTCCACGCAACAGTCTAGTCATGCCTAGTGAGGAAACAAAGCATTACACTAATGGCATTACGATGATGGTAATTCGTCAGAGCCTACCATATAAACCGGGCTGTGCTCTATGTAGCGTTTTGAGCCGTGCTCACCGTTACAGAGAAAATAGCTGGCTGCCTAAAGCTTTTAGTACAGTGCGAATACCTAAGGATCATCCATGGGAGCAACTGCTATGGCCTACCCAAGAGAAGGACTATCTTATGGGTACGATCATATTGCAAAGAAGCCCAAGTGTTTTCAGAGCTCAGCGGGTCCCGGAACGTTACGATCACTGTCGCGCAAAAGTCTGGGTCAAGAATTGTTTACAATACCATAAAAGCTGTCGCACTGGGAAACAGGTTCCGAATCGCATGCGACTGATGGATTGCTACGAGAAGAAGATTATCAAGGCTGAATCAAGCTCATGTTGGGTTGCATTAAGTTATGTTTGGGGCCCGGACGATGCTTCAGCGTCGACTAAACAGACGACTAATGTCGGTCGATACTCGTGGCCATCTTATATTCCCCGAACAGTAGCAGACGCTATGACCGTTACTATTGACCTTGGGTTTCGTTACTTGTGGTGTGATGCATATTGCATTGAGCAAAAAGACAATACGCATAAGGCTGACCAGATACGCAACATGGACAAAATTTATCGGTACGCAGAATTCACTATTGTCGCCACTGGTTCCAGTAAACACAGCGGTTTACCTGGAGTCAACTGTGCTCGTCAATCGGAATATAAAGTCTTCTCTATCGACGACAGAAACATTGTTTGTTCTGGTTTGTCACCAACGGATGCCTATACGATACTCCGAAACTCAGCATGGATGGAACGCGGTTGGACGTTCCAGGAAGGCCTGATGTCAAAAAGACTCCTTGTTTTCACCGATCAGGAGATGTCCTTTTACTGCGACACTGCGTCGTGGACAGAATCGATTGGTGGCGTTGAGCACATCAAAGATCCAAGTGGTGTCATATGGGACGATTGGAGCACGAAATTATCGCCTGTTTGTTCCGTCGATCGTACGTCGACTGCACCGCATCATGAAAGCATTTTTCATCGACATAAGAATTTCATGCGTTTAGCTGCACAATACACCAAACGTGAACTACGCTACCACTCCGACGCACTGAATGCTTTCTCTGGGGCGATTGAGTACGCTATATCCCTGTACGAGGTTTTTCTAAGAAATTACTGACTTTGTATACCTACGTTTAGGTACTTGTCGGAAATACAGCCCTCACTCTACCATATCGCTGGCCTACCATACTTTCCAGGAACAATGGAAGATGATGGCCTCAAGGAAAAGTACTTTTTTCGTTCATTGGGGTGGGTATTGTTCTTGCCCAGCACTTGTAAGCGAAGGCAAGGATTCCCATCCTGGTCTTGGACGGGCTGGATAGGTGAAATGGTCAGCCCATTCGATCTTCCAGACAATTTCACACCGCTCGCACGGAACGTATATCTGGGCTCGGAGAGCGTGTCTGCAAATACACACTCAATTCATGAAGACCTCTCCCGAGCGTTTCTCGACACTGTATCCGTCATTCACTTTGACGCTGATTTAGTGACCTTACACGATTTGCCTGGGTTCAATGAGCCCATGTTTGAAACCACCGCGTGGGACATGGGCAAGGCTCAAAAAGCGAAAAAGATGTTTCCAGGCGTGTCATCTTTTGAGCGAAGAGAGGTATATACGAACATGATTCAGGGACTCTGGTCTTTCCTACTGCTTGGCTGCTTCTCTCACAATGGGCACAACAAAGGATTACTCGTGGCCGTGGAGTGGAAGGACTTGGTCACGGCGGAAAGGGTAGGGTGTTTTCAAATTGACGACCTTGGATTTAATATCTCCGGAAAACTAAGAACAAAAAGGGTGAGACTTATCTAAGTAAAGGTGTACAGAACTTGTTGGGCACTTGCAAGCACTACGTGGTCTTTTCTCAATAACGGATTGAAGTACAGCTGAATGTTATCGAAAGAAGCTGCACCATGACACAGGTCCGCTCATACATAAAGATCCTGTTTGTTTGTGTCTTGTACAAGATTGAGCGATGTGGTGCAGGGATGGCGTAGGCGGGATCTGCGCGTCGATGACGTTTTGGCTTCCCAGTAGCTTGGCCAACCCCAATTACAACATTTCTGGGCATGTCGACCCAGAAAGAGGGGAAAAGCACCGAAGCTGCCATCCCTTACTTCACCAATCTCGTGTGGACTATTTACCGTATCAAAATCGCCCTGCTCACCTCGGGCTCGTCGTCGGACATGGCCAAATCAAAGGCGCTGCAGAGCAACCTGGACGTCGACTACGTGATTAGCTATCGCTTTGCGAAGACTGGTATGTGTGCCAATGCGGGGTCTAGAATTGATATGCTGATAGGCGCGTAGACAAGACGAAGGCGATTGCGCAGTTTGAGAAGCTCTGCGAGGCTCTGGCCAACGTTGGGCTGCAGACAGAGGTCCGCAATGGAGAATCGCACTCGATACTCCTCTTCGTGAGAGTAGCTTCAGACGAGCACTTGTTTGGTGAAGTATACAGGTCCAGGTACGCAACGCTTCATACCGCCTACAAAGTCGGTTCCTAATTACGCACAGAGTCCGCGACTGGATCCACGGCGTTCGAACGGCTGCCCCCGAGAAAGTTACCCGCGAATCGCTCGAAGCCGAGCCCCTCTACGAGGCCGAGAGACTGCGCATAATATACCAGCTCATCACAAACCCTCCGTCCGAAGGTGGAGCTGGCATAACACCCAAGGAGGGAGAATGGGAGAACGTCGAGTCGATCTTTGCGCTGCACGACCATGCTTACAACAAGGACTGGATTAAGAAGTGGACCTCGCAGTACTTCCTGACGACGGAAGATTTGGACGATATCAGGAACCGACTGGGAGAGAAGGTAAGCTTTCACAATACTGTCTCGTGCGCATGTAAGCTAACACGGCCAGATTGCCTTCTATTTCGCCTTTACACAGTCCTACTTTACCTTCCTCATCCCCGCTGCCGGCTTCGGTTTCTTCTCATGGCTCTTCCTCGGCTCCTTCTCGCCTATCTACGGTCTTGCGAGCGCCCTGTGGTGCACCGTCTTCACCGAATACTGGAAACAACAGGAGGTTGACCTGGGCGTTCGCTGGGGCGTCAAGGGTGTCTCGAAAATCGATGTTAGGAAGAAGGACTTTGAACCTGAAAAGACCATCACCGATCCCGTCACTGGCGAACAAGTCGGATTCTTCCCGGC